TTGTAGGCAAAACCAGACTTCTGAAAAATGCTGCATGCAAATGAAATTAAGGGATTTATCCAAACTGTTTCAATTCACAAACTGGATTTGGAAAAGAGAAATTTGATCTTTACTTCTTTTTTCTTGAGTTTGTAAATGTAAGGAAACATATTTTATTTTTCTTTAATTTGGATGTTTTCCATAATTTAAAAAAAAAAAAAAAAAAAAAAAAAAAAAGATGTGTTGAGCATAAATCACAAGGAAAAGGTTGCCCAGAGAAATTATGGACTCCCCATCCCTGGAAGAGTTCAAGGCCAGGTTGGACAGGGCTTGGCACAACCTGGAACAGCTCAAGGTGTCCCTGCCCATGGCAGGAGGTTGCAACAAGATTATTTTAAGGCCCTTTCCAACCCAAACCATTCCATGATTCTCTGATTCTATGAAAAGAAAATGTGTGCTGCAGGCAACTATCTGGAATTTCCCATTCAAAGCTATTTGAGCTGTTTTCCCCTGTAAATTACTTTCAGAGATTTTTTTGGGGAATAAAAAATTCTGACACACCCATAAATTGCTTCACCGAAAAGCACCTCCTGTTGAAATAACTTTTTTTAATCAGGAAAAGAAGGAAATCAGGAAAAAAAATAAAACTAATCAGGTCTGTTGCAGTGATATAATATCCTCACATGTGCTAATTTTGTGGGTTTAAAGGTAGAGCCTTGGATTGATTATCCCAGGCCATCTGAGAGCATCTATGGGAATTAAGGACCCCTTGTATGGGTGACTGAGAGTGGGCAGTGGTCACTGGGCCCAGAACCCTCAGGACACTCCTCCTATTCTGGCTCTTCTCCTGTGACAAGCACCAGGAATTTGAGGCCACTTTTCTCTGGAAGAAGGAGCAATAAATTTCTTTCCAGATGCCGAAGTGACGATATTCCTGCGCTCTGCCATTTAGCGCTGAGCAGATGAGAGGAGGTGCCTTTTTCTCTGTCAGGACATGTTGCTTTCCAAGAGATACACACAGGAAAATGTTTGAATTTTAAATCCCTGGGAGATGTATCCTGGCAGGCATGGCAAACCTCTGGCAGGGCAGTACCATTTATCAGCACATCCATATGCAGCAGATACTTGACATTTCCAAGACGCATTTCAAGGACAGCATAAATCATTCAGGAGAAAAAGTGCTGTGAATTTAGGCTGGTGTTCAGCCCTGTAGCCACTTTTATTCATTCAGACCAAGGGGTTTGGGCTGTTGGCTGAAGAAAACCAACAGGAGGAGCTGGTTATGACATTTTAGGGTACTTTAAATACTCTTTCCAGGCCTGCCTGGAAAATGGTGCTGACTGGTTGTTCAGTGCCTCAGTCCTTTCCTCTGGGGGTTGTGATGTGTTGCTGTGTGGAAGAATTAGAGCTCTGCTAAAATCAGATAGCAAGGTAGGTTCTATCTGCCTTTTTTTGGAAGTAAAAACCACAGCTCCTGATGACTCACAGCGCTGAAAATTGTATTTTCTTACACCAGTCTAAGCCACTGTGACCCATTTAGTCTGGATTTAACATATGAGCACAATTATTTTATAAATCCTCTCGTGTGCAGAATTTATAACTTGATGTTTACACTGAAGTTTGCAAATGACTAACCCTGAGCCATTTTAAACTTTGCTCTGGAAGAGTTGTCATCATTTTCCTTCCCTTTAACATCCACAATTCTGTCTTCACTAAGCCTGAGGGTCTTTTGTTCATGGAATGACACTCACTTAAAACTTTCCAAGTGCATGGCAATTCGAATGGGCAAAATTCATTTTCACGCTGAAAGCAATTTCCCTCCAAACTTGGCTTTTAATTAGGAAAGAAACCTCTATGCATTACCAAAATACTCAATTTTTTTTCCTTCTTCTTTTTATTGTGCCTCTCAGTATGCTATATTGATTATTTTTAGCCAGAAGTTGTAGCGATAAAAGAGGGTTAAGCTTATTAAAGTGCTAAAAATAAAAGCATACTATGAAAACCTGAAGGGGCTCATTTTGGTTACTGCCAAGTGGGAGCATTTAGAAATTCTCATTCACGAGCTCACTTTCCTGTCTTTCAAGAGGTTTAGTTGAAATTCTGCCTTGTGAAAGCAATCCATTGTTGCTGCTATAAAAATTCAGGCCTTGTGAGTGATTCCTTGAAAGATTAGGGCAAAACCCCCACTCCAGTCACTGTCAATCCAGTAATTTCCCATATAAGACTCATCATTGGTCATTAGAAGGGCTTGATGTCAGGACACAGATAAACATCTGGAATTGAAAGATCTCTCTTAGGATAATCATTATTTCCATCTCTGTGTGACAAAGGTGTCACAGAATCATAAAAAAATTGAATCTAAATCCTGGCTAGCTCTGTCACCTTCACTGCTCCTATTGCAAGATCATTTTTTTGGATGAAAAATTATAATTATTTTCCTAATTCTCTGATGTATTTGGTTGCAAACACCATGTGCTTTGGTGCAGCCCCGTCCTTGAGTTTATCAAAATGTCGACTGCATCCCTTTGGGATTTTTGTTTTCAAATTGTACAATAAATTTGTCACCAGAGTGTGAGGGCAGAAAGTTGTCATGGGATTCAGTTTCTTTGAGAAATTCTGCACCCAGGGCTGGATTGTCTAATCTGTTTGTGAACAAACTCACTGTCCCTTCATCCCGAAGTCAAAGGGAAAGGCAGATCCCTCCAGAAGGTTTTTTCAGCCTTCTGAGGACCCTGCCAGCCTTGTCTCTCCATCCCCAAGTGAGGTACCTTGGCAAGGAGCCTGAGAGTGGCTGGGTTGAGGCTGTGAACCACCACTTGTTCAGCAAGGATTCACTGAAATGTCTGTCAGTGGCACAATCATCATTGACTTATTAAAGTCATTGAATTATTGCTTATTTCTCTGTCATCTGAACCAAATTCCTCTCCTTGCTTTCCTGAGTTGATCAGCAGAAACATCTGGTTAAATTGCTTTACATATTTATGTCTCACTCTTGCAGAGTTTCAGAGCTGGTTAGGTGGGGTCTTTTTGCTTGTTTTAGTTTTTCCCCTGTGCCTCAGGATTACGAGCTGCTTCAAAAAATAGAATTTAAATGGGAGCTTTACTTATTTCAAGGCTGGCATTCCTCCTCTGGGAGAACAGCATCAGTTCCACCAGGGCCTAGGCTCCCTCTCTAACGTCCCACGGACTCATCCAGGACGTGCAGCACGAGTCCTTCTTACCTGGGGAAGCCTGTGCTGGGGAAAACAGAGATGATGCTCACAAATAAAGCTCCTAAGGTTTGGTTCTCCCATTCCAGGGAGCACTCAGGGGGGTGTGCACAGTGTTTAATTTTATCTAACGGAGGCAAATCTCCTCATGCCTCCCTGCAGGCAGTGGAAAGCGTTGGGGTCCTCTGGAGGGCCTTTTAGGGGAGCTAAATTAAGCTGCTTCTGTGATTTCCTTCTTCCCCAGGAGAAGTACAGACAGATTACTCTTGTTTTAGGAGGATATATTTAATACATTTACCTCTGTAGCTCCTCTCTGCCTAAATGATTAATTTTCTGAGGCTAATCAGCCTTTAAGAGATGTTGAGCAGTGAAGGGTGTCTGCTCTAAGATCCCAAGAAACTTTATATACAAGCAAGTTCTGTTACATTGATTAGGCACTGGGGGTTTTGCTCTTTTTCTCTTTGTCTTTTGGTTTTTTTCCTTTCTTCCCTTTTAAAAAAAATATTTTATTTTGATTTATTATTGTAAGTGCATAATTACATTAACAGATTTTAACGTTCTTTCATTTAAAATGGCAAAATCTGAATGCAACCACTTTCCACAAATTATCTGTGAACCCTCATTTCTTTGTCCACCACAAAAGTGATGAGATTAATTCCTGTTCTTCCCTTTAGAACCTTAAAGAATAAATTGCTTGAATCTTTTGTGGAATGTCTTAATCCAGCTCCTGATACTATTAATTGAAGAATTTCCATTGGTTTTATTAAGGATTAGGGAGATCCCTGGAGCCTTATTCTCCTGTTTCTACCTGAGGCTGAGTTCTCCTGATCGAGTTCATGCACTGTGGTGTATTTTTGTGCTCAAAACCACCCATTTGATCAAGAAATAGACCAAGGGCACATCCTCTTCCACTGTGAGCAGAAGTTACTAGCTGCATATCCCTTGGGGGACAAGCTGGTCAGGATTTCCAAGATTTCTGCTGGAAAAAAAAACCCCTTTTTTGCATGTTTTATACCATAGCTGTCTTGTTTTCTAAGCACAGTCAGGAGTCAAAGTTAATATTTGTTTTTGATGGAAGTGGAGACCTGCCAGTTGTGATGGGCAGCTGATAATCTTTATTTTCCAGTCTCAGTTTGATTCCTTGTAGTCCCTCCAGGCTTCCCTCTGTACCAAACATATCAATATAGGGTGAGATTCTTCTCCTTTAATTGTAGATTCCAGCAATTTGTCTCAATCTGAGCCATTTCACAGACCTCCACTGCAGCTCGGAAATGTGGCCCAGGAATATGGCTTGTGGATTGTTTAATCTGATCAGCTCCTGGGGAGTGGGAGGAATTGCACACTCTGGATTTGCTCTCTGTGCTCTTGTCTGAGATGATTTGATCAAGAACAGACACCTGGGCATGGTCAATAACCCACATGGACCCACATGAATCTCCTCCCTGAGCTCTAATATTGAGATAGTTTCAGGTGCCATGTCCCTTCTATATTATTTAATCTAGGAAATTTATCAGCCTTGAGCCACTTTCTGTTGGATTCCCTGTCGCTCTTCCCATTGATTTCGGAAGGAATGGGATGAGAGGCAGCCTCCATCCTGTCAGGGGACACGTGGAGAGCTGTCAGCCCCCCTGCCTCTGACCGATGGGTTGGGTCTTCATCAGAATGGATCAACCCACTTCCTTGAAGAGCAACTGGACACAAACAAGAGGCTGCTCCTCTCTTCATGCCCATGAGTAAATTGCTGAATTGCTGTTGGAGTAAAACCTTTGTTTTATGGTTTTTACCCTAAAATTATCCTCTTTTAATTTGCAGATAGCATTGAAGCCAACATTGAGACCTCTTCTTCTAACGTAGACTCAGCCAATGAGCAGTTGGCAAAAGCAAGTCAGCACCAAGTAAGTGGGACTAAAAAAAAAATCCTACAAATGCTTTCAGTGACAGTATTTGCAATAGCCAAAACACCTGGCAGCTGTGAACCACTGGGCACATGGATTTGTGCTACCTGGAAAGATGATAAAGCATATTCTAAGTAGGAAATAAACTTCTTTATATATATAAATATATATATCTATCTATATATATATATATGATTAGATTACCATAGCACAGGCAATTTGCTTTTAGAGCAGTCATTAAGAGATCTGCATATTAAACAGACATTTCCCAGTAGGAAAGTCAACAATTAGCTACTGTTGTTCTTGGAAAGACACCATAAAAAACACATAATTTAAGTGCATATGTGCTTCTGTTTGGTGTGTTTCCCTATAATCAGGCAACAGTACTTTAAGAAAACAACTTGAGTTGTCAAACAACATGATGTGGTTAGTGAATAATGGCTGTGGTGGTGGTGTTCAGCACTTTTCAAAGGCAATTTGAGGGATTTTTTTGTGAATTTTTTTTTTTTCCGTCACTGGAGCAAGAATAGAACATAAACACACACACACATACTCACACAAACATTAATCTTTTTGAAAACAGCTTGCCCAGAAAGAACTCTTTGATGGTTATAGTTAGTACTTTCTAGGGATGAAGGGGGTGGGGGAACGAAGAAAGAAAATATTGTTATCAATTACATTGTGACTGACAGAAGAAAAACCTGCTAGTTATCTTTTTCCTCAAGCATAAATTGGTGATTTCCAGGTGTCTGGAATTTTATCAAAATGTAGCTGAGGTCCATGAGAGCTCATGGTGCCTGTTAGTTATTCCTTGGACACAGTAAACTCTGAAGCTCTGGGGCAAACGTCTAGACCAAAGGAATAAGACTCACAGGCATTTTACTCTGATGTAATGGACTGATGTGATTTTAAAATTATCTATAGCTCATTTTCTGGTGAAACACATTGTCCCAATTTTGGGTAATAAGAGTGAGTTTTGTAGAACTTTGATATTGCAGAAAATAAGCGCTGTCTTCAGCTACATTTTGGGTTTTAATGTATATATATTCAAGATAATGTGTGCTGCCCTGCATGTAATCCTGCATTCACTTTGAAAATAACTTGTTACATACCACATGAAGCCTAAAATGGAACTGGAATGAATTTAATACTTGACCTGACTGTAGAGCTGATTGCAAAGCTGCAAATGAGTTAATGATGACTTTGGCTAAGAAGGTCAAAGAGGAGTCAGGCGGAAAATGAATGCAGCACAGTTTAAAGGCTCTGCTTCCTTCAGCTAGCAGGAGCTTCTGAAATAGCCTGCCCAGACAGGAGGCCCTTTTTCCCTCAGATGTGTTCATCAGGATAAAGATATAGCCAGTTTTAGCAAGGCAACCCCTGCCAAGGGCATAAATATGAACTGATTGGTGTAGATGAGAAAACAGAGGCTCTCTTGCACTTGAAACAAGTCCATAATGACAAATATCACTTACAGAACTTTGGCTGCTAAAGGAAATGTGCAATCCAGATCTCCCGTGGAGCGCAGGGAACTGTCCTGTGCCCTACTGGATGTGGATCACCAGGAAAACACGTGTAAACCCAGCTTGTTCTCTGTCACCATGAACAGAAAATGAGGTGACATTTCTGTCACTTCCAGTGCTGGCCTGGGGCTGGTCAAGCTGCATGTGGTGCCTCATGTGTTCTGTGCCACATATCTGCTCATCTTACACCCCAAAGGACACTGTCCCCAGGATGGGACAGGAAGGGCCCTGAGCCCTCAGGGATGCTGTAGGGAGGGATGCTGATGCCCCTTGCATGCATTTGGAGGATGCAGTGTGAGTACAGGTCATCCTTCCGTGTAGTCTGCCTGATTTTGGATGCTTTGGAAATATCTGGGATGGGTTTGGGAGAGTGATCAGCCAGATGGCCCCGTGGGTGAACTGCTTTTAAGGGACCTGCCAGAGCTTTACACGCTCTAAATTCTGTCTGTGCTCATCTGTGCTGCTCAGGGAACAAAGGCAAAAGCTGTTTCTTAAATCTTAAAAACTGAGCAGTTTTCCTCCTCATGTTAAACTGCTCATTCATGAGTATGTTTGCTTGTTACTTATGTTACAGTGTGATTATCCTGTAAATGCAGACTGGCTTACAAACATTTGTTATTTATTGCTGTTTATATGTACATAAACGTGTGTGTATGTGTGTGTGTGTGTGCAGTATTTTTATTAGTCAATGCTGTGTTTTTATTAGTCTATCAACAAATGTACACATAAATTGAGAAATCAGAAATGTCAACACTGCTGAAAGATTCAAGTTTAAGACCTTCTGTAGAACTTAATGGAGGGATTTCTGTCAGGAATAATGATTCAGTGGCTGGTTATTTAATACAGTATTTGCATGTAACCCATGCAGTCACTTCAACAATACAACTTGGAGAACCAGTCCCAACCTGAACATTAAAATAACAAAGAACCAGTAAATAGCTTTTCCTTAGCTACAAAAAAATAAGACATTTAGGTTCCCTGAAATGATAGAAATGTTAAAAAAAGGTAAATATCTTTACAATGAGCTCCTTTTTCTGCATTTTAAATTTGATAAGGTGCTCCTTCCTCTTGAGCTGTGTGTGCTAACAGCAGAATTTTATTCCTTTGAGTGAATTCTCATGTGCCCTAGCTAAACTCTGAAAAAATAGTGGGAGCTGTCACAGTTTTGGAATATATATATTCTTATACATGTATACATATATATACATATTGAAAAATGACTGAGGCCAACAAATCTGGCAAGGAGAAGTCAGTAGAAATTATCTCCTGCAAAGGCCTAAATGCCTTTTTTTCAGTGAGGGTCTCATTTCTCCTTGGCCTTGAGCAGGAATGATGACTCTGCCATTAATACCAATGGCCCAGATTTGCCTCTTGAAATTTCCTTGTCCCTGCCCTCAGAGAAAATTATTCATCCCACCCATCTCAAAACACTGATTTTAACTGGGGTCAAATCTCTCTCTGGAAGAGAGAGATTTGTTGGACCAGATACAAGTGTGTTTGATGGTGATGTGGGTTTAAGTGTCCAAACCTCCTTTCCATGGTTAATTTGGAGGAATTGCTTTCAGCACAGCTTGTCTTATCTCACAGGAGATGTCTCACATAGGGAGGTATGGTGGCTGCCTCTTAGGACAGGTTTGTTCTCTCCTTTGTCCATTAAATTGAGATTATATCAATTATACCACAAATATTCAATGGAAAATTAATCCCGTGCCTATCACCTGTCTCTTTATTGGGAAAAAGGGAATATCTAGACACCCAACCTGCCCTTGAGGTTAGTTTAGGTGGGCTGGGCATCACGCTAAAGGGATGGATGTGTGGAGATGAGCATTTTTACTTTGCTCAGAGCATCCTGCTGGTGAGTTAAAAGAAGGAAAAGAAACACATTACACCATTAAACCAGTTATCAGTCACCAGTACACATTAAACCAGTTGCTCTCTTTTTTAAAGCAGAGTTTGGCCTAAGCTCAGCTTGGCCTCACTGACTGAAGGACTCTGTGCTGGCTGCTGAAACTAATTTGTTTTGGAAGAGCTGCTTGTGCTGCTCTGATTAATGCTGGTTGCTTTCCTTCCCTGTATCCTCTGTGGAAGTCAAGTTAATTTGGATTCACTGGCATCCCAAAGGCAAGCAGCAGTTCGGTGACCCACTTGTGTAGTCGAAGAACAATGAGTTTTTTCCCCAGTAAAGAAGCAATTCCTGGGTCTGGCTCTCACGGGTACACAGAGGGGCACTTTGAAGGCTGGAGCTCTGAGGAAAAAAAAGCTCCATAAATCTGTGATATTTGCAGAGATCTTATTGCCTGGGGACCACTGATAAGGGACTGTCTTCAACTTTCACTCAAATAACTCATTGGTATTTTAACAACAAAAGAAAATTAGAGTTTCAAAAATCACATCCTCAGAGTCTTTGAAATTTTTTGGCATGGTAGCCTCTCAAAGCACATGTTGCTTATAAATATTGTGACAATGAAGATCATCTCCTCTTCTTCACTATGGGTATGCTCTAAGACCTTGTCTTTTTCTGCCACTAAATAATTTTAAGCTTAGTTTTACAATTAAGAGCCAACTGGCACAGTGATTGCACACTGATGTGCAGCAGCCATCCAGCAACTGCAAAGCCACAGGGGATGAGTGTGGTTGGATTATCTTGATGCAAATTGAGGCCATTTCCCCTTAACCTGTCACTTTTTACCTGGGAGAAAAGGCTGACCCCCAGCTGGCTACACCTTCCTTTCAGGGGATGGTAGAGAGCAAGAAGGTTCTCCCTGAGCCTCCTTTTCTCCAGGCTGAGCCTCACTCCCAGGGGATCTCAGCTGGGATCCCTCCCTTCAAAAAGACATTGAGGGGCTGGAGCATGTTCAGAGAAGGGCAAAAGAGCTGGGGAAGGATGTGAATGAGAAATGGCTGAAGAAGAATTTCTGCATGGAAGGAATTGTCAAACTGGTATTAGAATAGGCTGTCCAGGGAAGTGATGGAATAAACCATCCCTAGAGATGTTCAAGAAATGGCTGGATGTGGCACTTAGATGACAAGGTGGTGATCAGTCAAGGGTTGGATTAGATGGGCTTAGAGGTCTTTTCCAACCTAAATAACTCCACAATTCTGTGATCTCCTAGGACAAGAAAAGGCTGGGTGCTCATATGGCAGACTTGTGACAGAGATGTAACATCACTAGAGCAAGCTCTAGGATACAACACAAACAATCAACCTCGTGTTGCTGTTTGTCCAGGTCTGTCACCACCACGAGCATGGCTGAGTTTGCAGCTCCTCTAGATAATTAGCACTTGGAAGTTTCATTCAGGGGATTACAGAGCTATTCTTTCTCCTGGCAGCTCCTGCCTGTGAAAGTGATGGCAGCTGAATTAAAGCTGCAGTAGAAACTCGGGACTCTGTAAGGACTCCAAGCAAAAGCCATTACTGAAGTGACTGTTTAATTACATGACGGAGCCTTCATCCTCCCCTTCAGCAGAAGAAAGAAACTTT